CGCCCATCTTCCTCCGAATCATCAACGACCTGTTCATCTCCTTCGTGGTGACATCACGGAACACTGCACCTGAACCAGAGCTATCTTTACGCGTTGTGAACACGCACCTGTACCAATAAAAAAATGGTTTACCGATAAAAAACGATTTACCGCATAGTACTGTTTTATTGCTCAGTTACGCTATAGCTGTATTTGACTCTGGAGTCGGATCATCCGCGCTGCTGTATCAGATGGAGGCTTGAACTTTGCCATGTACTCCGGTGTGATTTCTTCTGTCAGTGTTAGTTTATTGAGTGATATGGTTCGAGACAGTGCCACGTATTCTGACTGTGTGGGGATCCCTGGGCGTTCAAGAGGTGTCACCGTGACGCCATCTTTGCAAGTTTTCCCTTGTAGTTTTTCAGCAGTGCAGGAAAAAGCTGGGACTACAGGAAACTGACGTACAGTAATAGACGAACGTGGCACATTCTTGAATTTCGAGAGCTTAATTTGTTCATTGAGTACTGGGATTCCAATGACACCAGGCGGATAACCATTGGCCAGTGTGTCTTCACAGTCGTGGACACGTACAAGAATTAGTTCAGGTAACTGATGCACTTCTTTCACCGTAAAAGCTTCAATAGTTTTCACATGGTACATGGACTCTCGAATTGGGGGAACGAATCCAATTATGAAAGCAGTAGTTCCATTCGCAACAATTGCTGACTCTTTCAAACGGCGATGTTTTCTGGAGATCATCACGGGCATCCCAATGAAACAAAGGAGTCGTAATGGAATCCGATCCGTTTGGTCGTCGCTCGCGTTCATGATTCTTTTAAGTACTGCTTTTGACTGCGAGGCTGGCTGAGCTGGGATTTCGTACATCGGTGGCCCTCAGATAGTCTTCCCCAGCGGATTTCTCTCAAAATGTCTGCGTAGACAGGATCTAGTCTCGCTCGCATGTTTTCGGTCAAGAACACAACAAAATTTAAAGCGCTGTATACGGCATATCCAGCATTCCGTGTTGCACTTGCCGTCACCGGAGGAACCTTAAAACCTACAATAACGTTAGGGTTAACGCTAGACCAGACTATAATGATAATAAAAATGCAAATGACACTTACAAGCGGTGCCTCGCACTGGAGGTAATTGCAACTAGTCACCGAAGAGCAACGTGTGTTTCCCTCCCATTATCTTGAGAGGTGTTTCGGACATTGTACGTGAAGTCATATCTGCAGCACCTAGCAAGTCGTGGTCGGTCATAGAAATGTCATCTACAATTGTCAACACTACCTTTATAAAATCTTTTTCATCTGAAGACTAGGTGGGTTCTTGGCTGGCAAACCATTTAATTGTAGGTTATGTGCACTGTGAATTGTTTTTCCTCTGATATTCCTTGCTTCTACTCCAGTAAATGCCATAGTTTCAACACTTCCCTCGCGACCCCATTCTTCTGCAAATGTTAGAAGTGCTAGAACTACTCTTGACTTGCCGGTTCCAGCTTCACTACCCAAATACACTACAAGTTGATCTCTTATTTCATAAGGCTGTCCTGAAAAATTGCTTGGGAACGTATACTCTTGTAAAATCTCTTTGATATCCGTGAGGTAAGAAAATAGTAAATGTCTTGCAGCGGTTCAAACATTGCATGCTGCCAAAAGTTCAGTTTAAATGCTTTTGATACTGCTCTAATACTGGGAAACGACCTTAAATTAGTTGGAAGGTCGATGATGTTGTCTTCGTATATGCCAAGGTACGGGTTTGAAGCATTCTTCAAGTTTCTCAAGTCGTGTTCAAGCTTCTGGAATGCCTTAATAAAGTCAGTTGTACCGGTTGATATTTCACATATTCGGTGCGGTTCTACAGTCTGAATGTACTGTTCGAGGTTTGTAAAAGAAGGCGAGAATGAAGGAGGCGTTTGAACATACTGACGAAACACATTTTCAATAGTACTGCGCAAGTTTGGAACTGCATCGATTGGGCTTGGGTTAAGTACTTCACTCACCATTTGCTCTACGTATAGATCAGTGTGATCATCGATATAGTCGTCGTTAACATCAGAATCCGAGTCAGTATCGGCAGCATCAGATACATAAGGTTCCCATGGTGTACTTGCAGCTGCTCTTGTGCGTAAAATTATGTCTTCTTCTGGTTCACGTTCCTCAACCGATTCACTCTCCGCTCTGTAGTAATCCATCCATTTATGCTCAAACTCTATCATTTGGGTTTTACACGAGTTTGTACTTAACTGTAAAAACTCCAAATATTCCTGTTCAACATCCAGGGTTCCGCAAAAAAAAACTCACCATTCCGATGTGATTTTAGTAGCGTAAGCATTACTGAATAGTAGAACATTTTATCTACATCGGATGAGTTTGGATTCAAATGTGGTAATTGCTTCCCCGACATGATGAACAGTTTTCTGTACGTATTCTGCTCGAAATGTACCGATTCCGTGTCCTCGGTTATACTGCCAAGCGTTTTTCTTGTCATCTTATGATAGAGCTCACACACCGTAATAAAATTCACTTGTTCTAGCTCTACTTGTCGTTTCCAGTACAACCGTAGTTCATTCTTTGAAGGTGATATTGGAGCGGTTTGCTCCGAGTCATTGTGATTTGGAACTTTGATTTCTTTTTGCGTTCTGCATAATTCTTTCCAGATTAATATACACATGTCATGTGAAAACCAAAAAGGACTGCTGCGACTGATATAAAGTGTAGCCATTGTTGCCGCAAGTTCTTGACCATTCGTAAGGGAATACAGCATTGAAGAAAGCAATTTAAATCCTCTGCGTTCAACTGTCGTAGATGAGACACTTTGATCTGCCTTTGCAGCAGCTTTATTGAACGCTGCAAGAGAAAATCGGATTTGTTCTCAATTGGATTTTGATTTTTCATACAATACTTGCATATATATATGTTGCGGTATGCCTTGCATCACAATCAAGTAAAACCTGTACATCATGATTACATTTTAGTGTCTGCATAATTGTTCAGTTGTACGCATTTACATATTCAGATCCAATAGGTCGATACTGACGTATGTGGAGGTTGTTATCAATACAAGTGCCCATTAGCCACGATTCGTGGGGTTTAAGAAAACGACAAATCGAACCTTTTGGTGTTCGACTGGTTCTTTTGAAACATCCGCTAACATGACTCCAGTAATGAACTTGAACATCCCGAATAACAATACTTAAATCTAGTGCTGATCTTGCGTCGCTGCTCGCTGGTTGAGACGGTGTAGTCAATGCTAGTAGGTGATATATTTATTGAATCGCGATGGGCAACAGATTCAATTCCAGCAGTTATTAAATCTTTATCTCGATACATTGCACCACAAACTGTACACTGTGAAGTAATCGGGGCTTGCTGACAGGTAATGGTTTTCGAAATCCATCAATACCCACTTGAACTGCATGCAATTCTCCTACATCTTCATTGTAACATCGATTAGGAAACTCAATTACAGGAATACTTGTAGTAGATATACTGTCAACAAATTTTATAATGCGATTACGAAAGTTAGAATTTGTCAACAATTCTTTTTTCATTTCTTCTGAAGTTTCTGGAAATCCATGCAACTAGACTCCAAAGTGGCCATGTAAATCTCCAGATTGCTGCGTTTTTGCAGCAGCACCATAAGCACCCACAATACCAAAGATACCACCACCTTTCGTAGGTTCATGCATCTTTTGGTCCCATCCAAGTAAAACTTCAATTATAACTGTCATCACCCTTTCAAAATACAGAGCGCTTTGCATCGGATATTCACTTGCAATCCGTTTACGATCAGCTTGATTGGGAAGCAAGTGAGTGTTACCTTCTTCAATAGTTCGACGCGATAACTCACCAGCGGTGAATGCAATTGAGTAGGTACCAGCAGAATCGGGAGATACTGTAACAAATAACTGTGGTGGTCCATAGCGTTTGATGTAACCAAACATATCATGTCTTGCGCGCATTCAACTCAAGTTAAATCCCCAAAAAGCTGTTTCGCTTGTGCGAAGACCTTTACGCAAGTTAATAATTTCCTCTAATTGCTGTGGCGGGGGATTTGGCTTCATTCCACGAGCTTCAGCTTGTACCAAATGATTGACCGACTTCCGAATTGTTTCACGTGAAATCATACCTGCTTTTAGCGCTTCTGACGACACGTGGAGCTTGATGTACATTGCTTTTCTTGCATTTTGCGTTGCAAGATAGTTAAATGCAAGCAATAAAAAAAGCATAGTGCCGTTCAAAACGATGATCCCCAATCCGAAGAAGGCGCTGGATCCATTGCTGGGGGGAAATTGGCTGTTCAGTTGGGCCTCCACATCCACCTGGAAATAGTGTAGGGAACATGCACAAACTTGCACTCCCCTTGTCTGATGACACAAATGAGTTTGATTTTCTCACTACTATTTTGTCTGTTGCAGGTGGAGGTTGAATGATAACACTAGTAGTACTGACCCAGCAGTTCTCAAGACTTTCTCGGGTACCTTCTGCAACCACTATGCCAGCATTATTGTATGTTGTGTAATCTCTAACAGTATCAACTACATGCTGGCTACATGTAGTCGCTGCGTGATCTATTGTAGCGCCACTTTTAGTACATTGCTCCGCCTCGTACTGCCATTCAGCTTTGTGCTGTTTATACACACGGTTTTGTTCTATAAGAAATGATAACGCTTGCTTGCAAACAGACACTTTCAACTCATAACGTTTTCTACAACCTGCTTCTTGCCCGGATGTCATGTTGCCAACCATCGTAATTCGTACGAGATCTGAAATGTTCTGCGGGAGCATCAAAACTATGGGACCTTCCGTATTTCTTACCATATAATGATGTGATCGAATGGTTTTACAGCTCCCATCTGTAACAGTCGATAGTGATACACAGGGAGCAACCAGCACAATAGCTTGCTCATCGGTTCGCGAGAGAGAAGGCATGTTATCGGGCCACCAGCCCACGTAGTTACCATTAGCAATGAAAAAAGCGGGCGGCTTTCGGTTAGTTTCATCGCTGATGCACTTGAAACACTCTGCACAGATCTCCATCACGGACAATCCATCTACATTCGAAATGGCTATCAAAACGGGGTTAGCTCTGACAGGCGCTAATTTGCCATCATACTGGTATCATACCTGACGGATATAACAACACTCCGCCCAATCGCGAGTTTAGTGACGATGCATCGTACTGCTTCCGGATAAAACTGCGAACTTCTGCATTACCAGGGGTACGCAGAATCCTAACCAAATTCTAAGAACAAGACTTGAGTGACGACAGCTTCAGCGTGGCGAGGCGCTATTTGAATTCCCAGCTTGATGTCATGGATGCGGTTCACGTAACCTAGTGCCTCGGCTTTAGCTGTCTCCATGAAAGCCAGCAAGCTTGGATGAGCTCCACGCCCAAATTTCTCGCCGAAGTCGCGGTTGTACT